GATATTCAATCGGTATGGCTGATTCCGCTAGAGTAGCAGCTATATGTAATGCTGTAGTACCATCATGAGCAGCTAGAGTTACGTCACTACCATTTTCTAATAACCTATAAAGAAAAGCAGAAATTGTCATAAGTTGGGCACCAACTTTTGAGAAACTCACAGTTCAATACTTTTCACATTCTGACTATTTTGAACGGCATAGTGTAAAGGTGTGTAACCATCTTTGTCAGCTCCATTGACGAAACATTTGTCAACCTCTATTATGGCCTCTAAAGAAATTTACTCAGTAGCCCTTCACAAAAATCCCATCATTTAGAACAGACCAGACTGATCATGTGGTTCTAATTGGTATTCCTAATCGACATTCAAGAGAGATTCAAGTGTGACAGTTTCATAACTTACACAGAGTTTGTCTTGTACCAAAATCAGAGTTCAATATGGCTAATGCTTATCTAATCGCTTGACGTTGATTTTTGAAAGAGAATGATAGGACATTTATGGTGCATCCGTTGAAAACAATCTCTTCTTTTTCCCAATCGAAGAAAATTGTGTTTATTCTATAGGAGTAGCTTGGAGAAAATTGCGTCATAGCGACACAAAATCCAGTTAAGCTTCTCATAGGCTACAGTTATTATTTTATGAATCAGCTGATTATTAGCTGAATTAGCTTGAATGGATAAGGAGAGAATGAATTAAATTCTAAGAAACTTAGTGGTCATAGAACGCAAGAACTCACTCAGCAACTCGGTGTGTGATGCCATTGCTGCATAGTGAGCGGCAGTTCTTCCGCGTGAGTCACGAACATTGAGTTTTGCTCCAGCTTCTCTCAATACCTTCAGCATTTTTAAGCTTCCACCACATGCCATGGAATGTACTGCTGTACGTCCGAGCTTATCGCTAAACACGTTTTTGAACCGTTGAATGGAGATAGTAGGAAAGAAAATCACAAATTAGGAGACCTACACCGCTGCCATATTAATTCCCGCCTTAAGAAGATGTTCGGCTACTTCAACATTTCCA